GTAACGGTAGGTCCGGCGGGAGGGGGGGAGGGGAGGAGGCGTCGGTCGGTGGTGGACGGTGCGCGATGCGTGGTGGGCGTGTTCCCCGCAGCGCGCTGCGACATATAAGGGCCCCTTGGCGCGACTGGGCCTCCAGTCTCTCGCTTTCAGCGCGATGCGGCGAGAGAGGCTGCAACCATCGGTGCCGTCAGAAGGTCTACACTGAATCACAAAGACCCCGAAAACAACATTCCATTTTATAATTATAAAAATATTTTTAGATAATTTTGAAAAAAAAAAAAAAGTCTACAACGACTGAAAACTTGGTTTGGTGTGCTGGTAAATGATGGTGCCCACAGGGAGCGAACTAGCCATGGGAGAAGATGATTTCGGGGACCGTCACTCTTTGGAAAAGTCATCCATTTGTAACAAACGTATTTCTAGAGAACGAACAATCTTAAATGATATGTATGTGTCTGCGATAAATGATTTAGTATGTGTACGTCTCTATATTTACCCGGTAAATGATGGTATGGCATCTCAAGGATGCGAAGTACTACTGGGATCGTTCCCTGCGGGAAAAGTATTAATTTGTCCCTGCCAGGGACATATTAATCCTAATGAAGATGCCTAGTTTTATTTTCACTCGTCGAAACGTACAAACCAATGGGCCTTGGAAAAGAAAACTTCACCGAAATAATAATAATTCAGACTATATTGTTCTTAAGCGAAGGTGGTCATTGTCTTGATAGTCAAATCGTTCTCCTTAGAAAGAATTTTCATTTCCCATCTTGGATATCTGCATGATTTATATGTATTACACCAATGATTTCTGAAAAGAAGCTAGTCTAATTATTTTACCGCTAAGGAGTGGTCTTCATTTTTCATTGACTCCGCCTTGTGCAAAGTGATCAGTATTGAGGTCATCGACTACGTTATTTATTGTACTGTAATCAATGTAATTTAATTGTCAAGACATGCAAATTTTGTACGTCAAGGGTATTTACGGCAATGCTTGATCTTATTTCGCAAGACAAGAGGGGGGGGGAGCTGCTCTCCGCTCTCTCTGCCAATGCCTTCTGTTCACTGTTCACGTTTCTGTTTACGTCTAGTTCGCTTGTAAAGAAAGCGTATACAATGATTTGCAAGGCAAATTTTCGACCAGATTCTCACAAGAGGAAATGAAAAATCGGAGGCAAGATTATTTTCTGTGTACTAAAGGAAAATAGTGATTTGTGGGAATTTGATATAAGTTGACACGCCGCCAGTTCTGACGAGAAAATTGCCTCTTCTGCATATCCCGAGAGGCGAGAATTTGTGAGTTTCTAATTGGGATTCTTACTCGATACCTTTCCTTAAACTAGTGGTGCTACAACAGCATGTACTTTCTCGCATCAGAAACGGTTACGTAAAGTTATAATATCGTAATCGCTGTCTTTATTAAAACATATCAGCCATCACTTCTAAAACTCATTACCAATCGTAGGGCATAACGTGCGAACATTTTATTCATTTTTTTAAATTCTTTGAAGCTTCTTATGTTGAATACATCAACATAACTCTAACAATCCAAAAATCAATTCCATACACCCAAAAATACTGCCCAACGATGAGAAGTTATTTTGGGTCAAACTGCCGTGTCGCGGCGTTCCTATTATGGAATTTCAACGTGACAACTCACGAAAGATTCTGGCATAAGAAGTGTAGAAAATTCGAATTGGCAAATTTTAAAATTTGAAAAATGTACGCTAAACTACTCATTAAATAAGTTGTACATGAGTTTTTTTAAAGAATTCATTTGTATAACACATTTCAGTTAACAAAAAAGATTTATCATCAATATTAATCTTTTGCAATGTTTGAAAATACAATGTGTTCGCCGAAATGGGACCGGCACCATTTTCATTTTCCGTCATTTGCTATACAATCCTATTTTAACAATTCTATCTTTCTTGAGCTTGTTGGTCATGGCACGATCGTAGAAAGAGGAGTAAATTCATGACAGTAGTAGTTGTTTGAGAAATAAGTATTAGAAACGTCATTGTTATTTAGAATAACAACTGCTATAGTCTTAACAGCTGCTAGACTTTCGAGCTCCCAAGAACACATGGCCACACGAACAATTTATCTTGGGAAAGTCGCAGTTTCACAGAGTAAAGAGTGTGCTGTTATTTAGCAGATCGAAAAAGTGAAACCTTGTGCTATGGAGCGTTTTGAAAGTGGTTGAAAAGGGACTGAAACGAATTTTGATGACGCTACAGGATCAGACCATCTTATTCTCCTATTTCACATTGTAAATGACTTAATATATTTTGAATAATTACAAGGTGAGTGCAATAGTAAGCTTGTTTTAGCAGTTGCACGTTTTCATGCGAATGTGTAGCGCACCTTGAGCTGTAGACTGGCACTAACGTGTTCACCCACACGCACAAAAAATGAAGGTCACACGCGTGACTTGTTCAGGTTTCTCGTTTAAGTTCACGTCGGTGTGAATTTCCAGAATATTCTTATTGTGTCAGATTTCTAATTCATGAGAACGCTGAACGCTTTCGACGTGGCATGATAAAACTAAATTTAGAAAGGAGTCAGACTTGGACATTTTACTAAGAAATTAGTAGTTCAAGTTACAATTAACAAGTTTTAGCTTACATTGGGAGATGCTTTCACGTTTTTTTCAGACTTTTTTTTTCAGCCTTGCTTGCTCGCTGAAAACTCAATCTGTTTTCACGTTTTAGTGCTATTGGAATTCATGGTTTTCATGGAGCTTGCATTTGCTCATTTAGAAAGAAAAAAAAACGCCTCTTGCGGAAATCTAAGAACAACGCAGACAATGCCAATAAAGTTTCTGAACGTCTAGTTTTGGCCTGAGACGTACCCAGTATTTTTCTCTGAGGAAGAGAGGGTGTAGAGTATGCTCAGTCAATTTGATATTTTTTTTTATAAATCATTTTTCATTTATGCGAAGTTAATATTTTTTATTTGTAGTCTAATTCTGCACAAAGCTCTTAGTTATTTTCAAATTTTATCACAATGGCGCCAAATGTTTTCTTAAAATTACTAAAATGTAATAAAATATGCTTATAAAATGGTAGAGGTCTGATTTTCACAGATATCTCTGAATTTTCGAAATTTGTTGAAGTTTGAACTTTTTGCATCTCTTGTACATGATTGACGATAGATATTTTTTCTTCAGATCATATACACACGCACTTCACAATTAGTTGTTTAATTGTCAGATATATCTTTTGCCATTATAAATTGTTTTCGCATAATTTTACTTGAAATAAAGACAATATTAAAAACTAGACTTTCTCAAACATTTCTCCAATTTTTTTAAGAATTTGTCTACAAAAAACAAAAAGAACAAAAAATCTTCAAGAACTCCTTCCAAATTTGCAGGGTTTTAATTCAGCTAGATTGATCGGGGAATTTTTTTCTTCAAAAAGCTTACTAATAGTTGAGGCGCTAGTATTGTTTATAGATGGACGTTTTCCATCCATTCTGGGCCTCAAAATGTAAATTTCAATGAAATTCTCGAAATCGATTTCCTGCAGCACGTATATGAGAAATTAAAAAAGGTCGTGCGCGGTCCACTTCCTCTGCCTGCCACACTAGGTCGGGAAGAACGTATATCGGTTCGCGCATCGGACTGTCATGCCTACATTTGCGGTTTCAAATCCGATCGACGTCGTGCATTTTTAAGGGTGAAAAAATGCTTCGTAGGCCTGCCTACGCCTTCCTTCACAGGGGAAGGGAAGCCGGCTGACCCATGTACTAGATTTACTGCGTGTAAACGATCTCAAGTCTAAAAGAAGCGTCTGAGCTAAATTTTTATCGCTCGAGTGCTTTTCTCGACCGAAAAAATTCGAATCGCTCGACTTCCTTTCTCCGCTAGATGGTGCATTTACATTGATTTGCATTTACATTGAATTGCATTTACAGTGCATTTACATTGAATTGCATTGCATTGAATTGCATTGCATTGAATTGAATGGCATTGCATTGAATTGAATGG